GTGCCATGCTGTGCCATATTGTGCCATATTGTGCCATATTGTGCCATGCTGTGCCATATTGTGCCATGCTGTGCCATGCTGTGCCATATTGTGCCATATTGTGCCATATTGTGCCATGCTGTGCCATATTGTGCCATATTGTGCCATGCTGTGCCATATTGTGCCATGCTGTGCCATGCTGTGCCATATTGTGCCATACTGTGCCATATTGTGCCATATTGTGCCATGCTGTGCCATATTGTGCCATACTGTGCCATATTGTGCCATGCTGTGCCATGCTGTGCCCCGCAGCGCCCCGCGGCCCCAGGCGCTGCCATCCTTGCTCACCCGGCAGCTTGCCGTGGATCTGCTGGAACATCCTGCGGTACCAATCCCGGGGCCGATCCACGCTCTGTGGGGCGCGGTGGGGCGGTGAGGACGGGTCCAGCGATGCCTCCCCCTCCCCCCCCCCCCATTGCTCTCACTCACAGAACGCGAGGCCAGCGGCAGCCCCGTCTCGTCCACCGGCCCGATGCCGTCGTACTTCACCCAGCGCCGCTCCCGACGCCGGCCGTCCTCCGTCCACGTGGCCGAGCAGCCCGGGGGGGGCACGGCGCCCTCCATGGGGCCTGAGGGGCGGGGGGGGGTCTGATGGGTGCCCGGGGGTCCCGGGGTGGCCGGGTCCGGTGCTGCGCGTTGGCTGAGGGTGAGGAGGGAGAGGGACTCCCGCGGGCGGCCCTGGGCGGCCCCGGTGGGCTCCAACGGGGGCCCCCGAGCGACTCGAACCGGGGTCTCAAGGCGGCCCCGGCCGTCCCCCAATGGGCTCCCATGGGGGCCCGCGGTGCGAATCCCCCGGACGTCCCCATCGGGTCTCGCGGGTGTCCCCGGCCACCCCCCAGCGGGGACCCTGGGCGCTCCGCAGCACCGTCACTCGGGTCCGGGGGGCGTCCCGCATCCCCGCGGTGCGGCGCGGCGCCCCGGCTGCGTTCTGCAGCGATAACGGAACCAACAGCGGCGGCTCCGCGCGGCCCTTCCGCAACCGACGGCTCGACTTCGAGGCGGGGGCCCAAAACCAAAAACCAGCCGGCGCTCCCCAAGGGAAAACCGAAAACCCCGCCCGGAGCGGAACGGGACGCGGCGCCTCCCCGCCCCGCAGAGCAAACAGGGCGGGCGGAGCGGGCAGAGTGCGGCGTGAGTCACGGCGGGGTGGGGGCACCCAGGGCCGGGACGCCCGGACCCCCCGGCCTCGGGCACCGCGGGCGGCTCCGGCGCCGTTTGGGGGCGGCTCTTTGGGGCCGGGGTCTCCCTTCTCCCCCCCCCCCCCCCCCCCCC